CTAACATAGAGTATCTCATCCTGTCTGAGATTATTTTTTGCTTTAGTTGAAATGTCAGAATTATACCATTTGAAGTGTCAAAAGAACAATAAAAAAAAAAAAAAAAAAAAAGCATCAGGTGCCTGATTTTTCATTCTGACTTGTTCATATTATATTCAGATGCTTGAATTATATCAATTAAAGTCTTGGTTAGAATTAATAAAGTTCCAGAATGAGACAATTATGAGAGAGAATAAGAAGATAACTTGAGAGATTTCATTTCAGTTATTACTCTGGCTAAATGGTAGAAACACGTGGCTTTCCTGAGGGTGTGAATGAGTTCACTGTTCAAGAGCATCCAGGCACCGGAAGGCCAGCAGACCAAGGCCTCTTATCCCTACATCTCTGGTACCATGATGGTTACTGTTGAGTTTTACTTTTTTAATTTTTTTTAGGGTAAATCTTATCCTTTTTCACTCTAAAACCATCCAGGGTGAGGGCTTGTTAGTGGTCATCAAGATGGTAACAATGGCAGTGAAGAGCTTGGCCCTAGAGTCAGATTGTCCTGGGTTCAACTCCAGCTCAGTCACTTCCCTGTCCCAGAGCTGCTGTAACGAAGTGCCACAGAGTCGATGGCTTCATGCAGTGGACATTTCCTCTCCCAGCTCTGAGGTGAGAAGTTCAACACTGAATTGCCAGCAGGGCCATGCTTTCTCTGAAACTTGGGGTGGCATCCACCGTGGGGCTCATAGATCCTCAGTGTTCCCCGGCTTGCCGCTATGTTACTGACACCTCTGCCAGCATCACGTGGCCCTCTGCTGTGTGTCTCCCGTGGCGTTTCCCTCTTCTTTCCAGGACATGAATCATATTGGATTAGGGCCACCCCAATGATCTTGTCTTAACTTGAGTACTCTACAAAGACCCTAAAGATCACATTCACTTATCTTTTGGGGTTGGGGACTGGGGGGAGTGCACAGTTTAGCCCATAACAGCTCCCCATCCACCCGGGTAAGTGAATGAACGTCTACAACCATTATCTGTCTCACTATCAAAAGACGATTGTCATCCAGGTCCTGCGTCTGTGAGGAGGACATGAGGGACATGAAAAGCCCTTTGCAGTCATTCAGCGCTCAAGAAATGTGACTTCCCATTTCCTGCTCTACACCCCCATGTCTTGGCCATCAATTATTTAAACTTGATACATTCAAGGGCAACCTAAGAGGCACCATATGATGCACAAAGCTGGCCCCTTAACCGGGGCGAGCTCACACACTTTGAGGAGAGGTCGGAGTTTGTAACACAGAACAGAATTTGTGTCTTGTCTGGAGAAACGCAAACGGGCAGTTCTGAGGGAGGGCAGGCTGTTGCTTGCTAGGTGGCTTGCCGAGGTCGTCATAGCAAACTGGTTACAAAGTGGGAAACCAAATCTCAGTTTTCAGATCCCCATTTGGTTTCTTTCCTGTTTGAACACATTGTACAATTACATCACTTGTCACCTTTTAACTACTCAGACTTTATCTAACTTAACCCGTGTTTGCTCATAAGAGGTCCTAATGTCAGCTGGGCACAGTGGCTCACACCTGTAATCCCAGCACTTTGGGAGGCCTGAGGTGAGGAGTTCGAGACTAGCCTGGCCAACGTAGTGAAACCCTGTCTCTACTAAAAATACAAAAATTAGCCAGGCATGGTGGTGGGCACCTGTAATCCCAGCTACTTGGGAGGCTGAGACAGGAGAATCACTTGAACCCAAAAGGCAGAGGTTGCAGTGAACCAAGATCATGCCATTGCACTCCAGCCTGGGAGACAAGAGTGAAACTCCATTTAAAACAAAAAAAACCCACAGAGATACTGATGTCATGTGACAGTCACTAGGGGGATGCCCATACCTTCTCGGTGGTCCACATGCCCTGCCCTTTGCACAGCTTACTCCGGTTCCCAGCCCTCCACACGTCCCCGTTTATACCCATTTGCCCTGCTCTGTTGTACAGGGGAAATTCAGTTTATTCTTCTGCAGAAACCCCAATAAAAATAATAAAGTAAAATAAAATAAAGCACATAGATACCAACTTCAGTACATGCAGTGTAAGAAATTACATTTTTGTTACCTATCAAAAGCAAAACAATTCCCAAATACTTCACCCATTGACAAATCACTGAAGTCCATTTAGTGTGAGCAAAAAACTGAGCCACATTTTTCATATCCTTGCCTCTGGCACTGCAATTCCAGTCTCAGTTACTTCAGTCTCAGTCTGTTACTTACCACTTTTTGTATTTTTTTGCTTTACTGTATCCTAAATTTGATAGGTGAGCAAAAATCCATCTATGAGAAGAAAGGGTTGCTGCTGATGTTAAGGAATTCATTTTGGTTTACAGCTAGCAAGATTATGAGGATTCTCAATCCAGGAAAAGTCATACACTGACTTTTCAGTGTGAATGCTGAGGATTTAAGAAAGGAAATAAGAAATGTCTTCAGCTGAGAAGGTAACTAGGTACTGTCTTGGTCAGTTCAAGCTGCCATCCCAAATTACCATAGACAAGGTGGCGCTTGAGCAACAGAAAGTTCTCATAGTCCCGGAGGGTGGGAAGTCCAAGGTCAGGGTGTCAGCAAATTACGTGTTCAGTGGTTGCTTAGTTTCTGGTTTACAGAGAGAGCCTTTTTGTTCTCTCTATGAACTGCATTCTCACATGGTATTAGGTTAGGGCTAAAGTAATTGCAGTTTGGGGCTGTGAATATTAAATCATTATAACTAAACTCAAACACATCTTTATTAATCAAAATAGGAACCATTACAATCAACACACTTTTTCCAATAAGAAATAAGTTTGTTTATCTCGGTGTAAAATTCTGTGCTTTGAGATTCAACAAACTCTTGGAAGGAAAGCATTTTCTGCATCCCGCCACTTATGGAAGCTCTTTCCCTGCAAAAAGTTGCTGAGATGCTTGAAGAAGTGGTAGATGGTTGGCAAGAGATCAGGTGACTCTGGTGATGAGGCAAAACCTCGTAGCCCAGTTCTTTCCACGTTTGGTTGTGTGATGTGAGGTCAGGCGTTGTTGTGGAGAAGAACTGTGCCCTTTCTGCTGGCCAATGCCAGCTGCAGGCGCATCTCATCAATTTGCTGAGCGTACCTCTCAGGTGTGATGGTTTCTCGGGGATTCAGGAAGCTGTAGTGGGTCAGACCACGGTGACCAGGACCTTTTTTTGGTGCAAGTTTGGCTTTGGGAAGTGCTTTGGAGCTTCTTCTTGGTCCAGCCACTGAGCTGATCATCGCCAGTTGTCATGTAGAATCCATTTTCATCATACATCATAATCCAATCAAGAAATGTTTCCTTGTTGTTGCATAGAATAAGAGAAAATAATGCTTCAAAATGAGTTTTTTTAAATTCTTGCTTAGCTCATGAGCCACCCACTTTCTGAGCTTTTTCACCCTTCCAATTTGCTTCAAATGTCAGATCACCCCAGAATGTTTGATGTTGAGTTCTTTGGCAATTTCTCGTGTAGTTGTAAGATGGTCGGCTTCGATGATTGCTCTCAGTTGGCCGTTGTCAGCTTCCAATGGTCAGTGGCTACACTCCTCATCTTCAAGCCTCTCGTCTCCTTTGCAAAACTTCTTGAACCACCACTGCACTATGTGTTTGTTAGCAGCTCCTGGGCCAAATGCGTTGCTGATGTTGTGAGTTGTCTCTGCTGTTTCATGGCCCATTTTGAACCAAATAAAAAAATCGATTGAATTTATCTAAAAAAATTGCTTTTTATCTAACATCATTCTCATAGTCTAAAATAAACATAAAATAAACAGCAAGTCATAAGTCATTAGCAAAAAAACATAAAACAAGGCTTGCCCACTAAAATGGTGTATAACATAACCACATTTGTTTAAGAATGTATTCCAATATCAAAAGTCAAATTTCAACAATGCGGAAACCACAATTACATTTCCACTGACCTAATAGAAAGGAACTGGCCTTTTCTCTTTAGCCTTAGCTAAAGCACTAATTCTATTCATGAAAGTTCCACCCTCATGCCTTAAACACCTGTCAAAGGTCCCTCCTCTTAATACCATCATATTGGGGGTTAGGATTTGAATGTAGGGATTTTGAGATACATTCTCTCCATGACAGGTGTGTTTTCCCAGCCGTTACACACCAGTCTGTACTGCTGCACACGTGAGCCCTGCTGAAATAAGACTCATGTGTGATTCCTGTGTGGCTGTCCATGAGATGTGTCCCATACTCCCACTGCCTGCTAAGAGGGAAGCAAGTAAATAAATACGTGTAGGCAAAACACTCCCTCCCTCAATTGCACTAAGGAAATGGAATAAACTCATTTTAGGAGATGCCAAATTTACTGCAGTGAACTTTAGATGAAACACTAAGGTATGCTACAGAAAATAACAGAAAACTTATGACTTAAGCTTTGGCATTGAGTTTCCTTCAGCTTGCAGAGCAACCCGACATGAGAATCATAAACACAGAAGGCAACAGGGTGCAACTGTTTGAAATGATCTTTGCTCATTTCCTTTTTGTATTTCTCCTTTTCCTCCTCCTCCATTGCAGCCTTGCCTATAGCTCAGGCTAGACACCGTAAGTGCAAAGGGAATTTTACATAGATATTTTATGGGAGATATAATTTTGAAAGTCATTTTTGAAAAGCCTATAGGAAACTATTATATTGCCATGAATTTCAGCTAGGGAATGGAAGTAAATTGCTCACTGATACTTTACAAAATAAAAATATGCCAGAATATTTTAAATGTTCAATATCTAATATATGGACAAGAAGCGATGCTACTTCACAGATAAGTATTCTGAATGAACATTTTGGTGTTTCATTATTATGGACTCTAGTTGCATCGGAATTCACTCTTAAGTGGCCTAAATAATGCTTCAATCTCTTAAAAGGTATATTTTTAAAGAGCATACGAAATGTTTAAAAATAGCTGATAGATTAATTTTCATTTCCTTCAAATTTCCTTTGGTTTAATGGTTTGAATTGCTCCATGACCATGCTACACGTACATTAGAGGACTGAAAAATATATTCGACTCATTGTAAAAACCATTTTCTTTGTAAAAGATAAGGATTATTTACAGTTGCCTAGTAAATGTATAGTGGACAGGTATTTGGGTATTCCTGGGATAAAGATGGGGAAACCTTTGAGAAACCACATATCAAAGACAACCCTGTTGAATGTGATTATTTGCTTGGCAAACACAGTCATTGCTTTCTACGTCTGCTGCTTTTCACAGGTATAAGCCGCTGGCTGATACGTTCCTGCATGAGAAGAAGGAACAGTCGGCTGCCCAGCGATGTCGGTTTGTACTCCAGCAGTGTAAATTACAAGGCTGGCAGGTTGGTGACCTACAAGCTACGGAAATACCACTTTAGGATTTGAAATAAATGAGCTGAGTCATTGCAGGGAGCCACCAGAGTCTTCCTGGCAAAAACAAATTCCTTTGATGTGTTTGACAAGGCGTGACATTAAGTGTATTCCCTGGAAATTTGTCAGTCTTTATGACTTACTGATTTTAACATCATGCAGCCAACATGAGAGTCAATCTAAGAGGCTCCCTTTACAATCATGGCAGAAGCTCATGAGCCCCATTCTGTCTGCCCATGTGTCAGACTCAGACCTTGTCACTAAAGCATTTTGTCATATTTACCCATAGCAGGAGTCACAGAAGCCAAAATTGAACTAAGGCTGATTTCTCTGTGCAGAGTTGGTAACTCACAAGTGCATGTTCGACCTGGACTTCTCCAGTTTGTTCAAGTCTCACTCAGCCCCCTTCCTTTCTGTTTCTCTTTGCTCTGCTTCTCACCTGCCATACTGTGAAAATGTTACTATCTTTTGAAGCTCATTTGTTGTTAAAAGCTTCATAATTGGAAACACTTTATTATAGTCTGCGGTCCATTTGAATGGCAGAGCCTAGGGTTCAATGAAAGCGACAGCTAGACCTGCAGAAAAGGGAAATAACTTGAGACAAAATTACAGAGCAAATGTTTACCAGAAACAGGAGAAGAGGGTCCCAGATTTTGTTTAGTAACTTAAACAACATCTGAGTCCCATTCTTGACTCATTTTAGGAAGAAGTGGTTTAAAGTGAGAAAGGCAGATTAGAGCAACATTGAGAAATCATGTTGTCCACAACACCAGGGATTATTTGGAAGTTTCATGTTGTAAAACCACCAAAAGTACCTAGGTGGCAAAAACAATGATAGCCAAAAGCTTTGGTAAAAACAAGACGATTACTGGAAAGTAGACATAAATTGCATCTTTAAAAAGTTATAGTGAGAACATCTATGAGTAAAAATACATGATAATTGATGAGTCAAAGGATGAGGGCTTGGCTTTAGAGATGACATGAACAGATGATTCAGAATTGCTGAATATGTCCAAAAGTGGCCCAGTCTAAGTCAAACGAGGAGGGAAGACTGGATTGACACTCGCACACTCATCTGTCTATGACAAAGAACAAAGAACCTAGAATTTTGGCATTGATGAGTAATGATTTAATTGTCTGTACCACCCAATCTTTTTCTTTGTTATCCTTTTTCTTTTTTTTTTTAACTAATAATGAAATTTGAACTTTAAATAACAATCTGAAGGAGGAAGCTTACTCAGTCTGTAGTTGTCAGTGATGCACATCAGTGCCAAAAGATTGGATAAAAAGGGAAGGAGGAAGAAGGAGGAATTACTAACCAAAAGTGATGTCCGCCAACCCCTCCAGAATCAGTGACATAGGGGTGGGATTCACATATATCAGCATTTCTTCAGTCTGTAGGTAACTGAAGTCAGTTCAACAGAATCATTGCTGAGATTTTAAATAAGTAATTACATAGTAGTAGTCCATGGATGATATAACACTAAGATTTTCTTACTGTATTATTTTGCTTTTAAAGAATACTTACAGATTTTATATATATATATATAATATATCTGTAAGATAGATGTATGTGTATGTGAAAGAGAGAGGGAGAATTTTTATTTATAGAAGAAAACAAGGGAATCTGGAATAATTCTTTCACTGAGAGAGTGATTGGCAGCAACCACCATACCTAAGCAGTGTTCCCTCTGACAGACCACTGTAAAGTACAGGTCACATATGAAAGGAGACTGGAAGAAAAATCAGTATTCCCTGACAGCCATCATTTCTTCTACATCTGTGCTTTTGCCAGGATACTTGAAATTACAATTGAGGATGGTATTACAAAACATACATTGGGACTTTCAAAAAGAGCATTAATTTTTTTTCAATGGGAAAGAGATCGCATTTCATTGCATTAATCTATTTTCTCCACACTTTTCACCTGCCTAAAAGGAAGCAAAAATATGAGAGAAAAAAAATTAAAAGGAAAGAGAAATAAATGTGTTCATTCACTGAGAATATTTGCTTATGAGTTCCTTGTTGTCTAGTCAGAAAAGATAGTGTTTCTTCAGCTTCTTCAAGATGTAACCTATGATACACTTTATACTGTAAGACGAGTAACCAACTTCACAGAAATAAAATTCATTCATATTTCACATTTATGTTAGTCTGACAAAGGATAAATGCTCCTGTTAAAAAATAAAAATAAAACAAAACAACACTTATTCCTAACCTGGAAAGTTAGACTCCTCAGTTTCAAAAGCAAAGCATTTGTTTGAAATGTATTGCTAGTTACAGAAAGAATTCCTTTTGGTCTATTCTGGGTTTTTAATTAATACAGTGATTAAATCAGAAGCTGTTGGACTACAGGGACAAGGTTGCATCGGATGCTTAGTGTATCTGTAGCATTATTTCCAAATTGCTAAGAGTTATAATGTGTGCTTTCATTAAGCAAGCAGTTCATCATTTAGTCCTGAGTGTTTGGCATGAAATGAATGCTTATTCTTTTCCACAGTCTTAAAAGCAGTGCTGGAGGAAAGAAGAGATTAGAATTATATTTTGCTGTGTTAACTTGTATATGGTGTTAGCTAGAAATTCATTTCTTTTAACTGAAAGCGGTAATTTCATTGTCATTCTAATGGGTCTCAGAGGTCTTGCAGGTTTTGCTCTCTCTCCTTTACTTTAATCAGACCCTGTGCAAGTTAAGCCTTGAATCGTCAATAGGAGATTGTAACTCTGTAATTCTTATACTCTCCAAAATTGTAGCAATTCAGTAAACCGTGGTACATATTTGATTTCCTTCTGTTTCAGATGAGGATAGAGATGTCACATCTTCAGTGCTGTTACTTTTGTATGCCAATCTTTACACCTGTGTCTGCTTTTCGTGCTTTAGGTAGTCACATGTTTGTAGTCTGCACATATGGTACTGTAATTTTTAATATTTAATAAGTAATAATTCCTCTCATCTACAGAGTATATTACAACTATTCAGAGTTTTTATTTTATTTTATTTGAGCCTAATAAAATGTCTATGCAGAAAAGGAAAGTAGGCAGCATGTACAGGAGTGATCTTATTTTAGATTTGAGGAAATTGAACTTCACGGAGAGTTCTTGTCTTAGTTAGAGATCGGTGTACTGATCAAAATATTAGGTGCAGTTAATATTCAGGTTCAGTGGGAACACCACTTTGCTGAGACCAGCATCTAGCTTTTCCTATGTCATGTTCTTTCCACTGCATTTAACTCGATCTATATCTTTTAATATAACTATCTAAAGTCATTTTGCTCATATTACAGGACTTGAAAGGGATAGGTTATGCATCACAGTGTGAGCTTTGATCAAAGGCATTTATACCCTTTATTCATCTGCCCTTTGTACATAGTATCTTTTTTATGTTTATAATTCACCCAGCAAATGAAGGAAAAACAAGCAGACTACTTCTCATTACAGGGTGACTGCCTCTGATCAGAATCCTTTTCTACCCAAACTGTCAACCAAACTGACCATGAAATGACACAATGCATTTGTACTTTCATTCCCACTCTCGTCTTGGAAACAAGAGGAGAAGGGAAAGGAGAAAAGGAAGAGAAAGGAAAGAATATAGAGAAGGAGAAGAACTAGAATCACGTGAAGATTCTCAGGAGGCTTTTGATATCAGTTCTACTTCTGAGAGTTAAGACCTAGATGTGACTCAGGCCATCCAGAGGAAGTGACATGGGTGAAGGAACCTCATGGGTGGCGCTGGTGGAAATGCATGTCACAGGAGCATTGCTGCATCTTGACAGCTAGAGCAAAGGCAGTTTGAAAACAATTTATTAGGCAATTTCAACAGATCCGCAGGTTTGCAATACACTGGGTTTTGCTCACTTGCCAATTTTCAGTGAGGCATTTCCTGGCTACCAGATTTTAAATTCTCGTTATCCTTGACCTTCCTACTGCATCTTCTCGTCCTCTTCTCTGCATTGTTCTTCTCCACGGTGCCTAGAACTTCCTGTTACGCCTCAGATTGCAATCCTTAACACACTGTTCACCACCTTTCCTCCATAGTATGGGAGCTCCATCCAAAGGCCTTTGTGTCTAGAGCTTACTGCTGCATCCCCAGCAGAGAAGGCTGAGAAAGACAGGGAAGACACTCTGTGCCTGGATGCTGGGCCAAAACGTGAATTTCTGTAAATGAGAAATTACTAAACAATACAATACACTTGATGTGGGTGCAAAGACATGTAAGAACTTTTTTAGGCCAGAAGTGGTTCACGCTTGTAATCCCAGCACTTTGGGAAGCCGAGGCTGATGGATCACCTGAGGCCAGGAGTTCGAGACCAGCCTGGCCAACATAGTGAAACCCTGTCCCTACTGAAAATACAAAAATTAGCCAGGCATGTTGGTAGACACCTGTAATATCAGCTACTCAGGAGGCTGAGGCAGGAGGATCGCTTGAACCCAGGAGGTGGATGTTGCAGTGAGCCGAGATAGAACCATTGCACTCCAACCTGGGCAACAAGAATGAAACTCTGTCTCAGAAAAAAAAAAAAAGAGAGAACTTTTTAAAATTTATTGTTTTTAAATGAAATGAGAATCAAATGGAATTTTAGCCTTAAATCTATGTTATAAGATGCAGGTATTAATACATTACTTCTATAATTAAAAATAATTTTTTAAATTTGAAACCACTACATAAATATAATTTAAGCATAGAATATTGCATAGGGTCAAATTAATTATTCCAACAATTTGTGAAAAAGCTGTAAATCATGCTGCATTTTGCACCAAAGCATTTTTGGTTTCCAGTACATAATTTCTGTATGTCTTTTATACCACTAGCCTGCACTTCTCAAAGGAATCTTGTGCCTGCTCTCATAGAATTTGAACTGGTCACCACAAGTTTTGGCAAACTCATGCATGTTGCTGTTTACTTAACATACTCAAAATTGCTACTTTTATATAGTGTGGTTTGATTTTGAAGAAAAGTGAAGAAAATCAAGATGTAGTGGTGGCTAGAAGGGAATCCTTCATCTTGGTGGCTTCTTAAGTTTACAATGAAATGATATATTTTAAAAACATGGTGGACTAGTCAGAGCCACGTCCTTATTTGCAAAGCAGAATTTATGTAACTTGTTTGCAAAAAAGAGTGGAAGTATTTGGAAATGATCTGAATAGGACCTGCATGACTAACTTCTAGTGCTGTTTTCTGTCTCAGCAGATACAGTTTTCTTTACGAAAAAAAGAGTTCATGGATTACTTCACTATGGAAAAATACCCAGATAGTTTGAATTAAGTCATAGTTTGGAAACAAGTTAAATGAGGCCAGTAGTTATTAACCATCTGCTGTTTGTTTTATCGTTGTTGTTATTATTCAGGTATTTTACTTATCTAAATATATGCATTTTAAATTCAGCACTGTCTGAAGGTAATTTGGAAAGCATCCCTCTGGAACTGTGTCTAGTTAACCAAACACTATTTGCCCGAATTGCTACAAGCCATAGAAAAGTGGCTGGGCAGCAGCTAGGCCCATGTGGAACATGCTTGTTTTGCGTGTTATGTCATTTATGTAAAATGAAAACCTTTGAAGCTAATTCTAAGTGGAAAAATAAGTGGTATAATCTGATTTTCACACATTTTATATGCATCAACTGGTTATAGGATGATTTCTTCTGTGTAGTTATTTGAATGCTATATTCATTTTAAAGCCATCTGGAGGGATGACGAATGAAGAAACAAATCTGTCAGAGTCGGTCCATGTGATGCCAGGGGTGCCGCTTTGGAACGCAGACACTCGCACAGCACCGGGAAAGTCGAGAGGGGACTGCACGGATGTGGCTCGGTGCAGAAAGGCTTTCCCAGTGGTGCTTTTCACTGATAGTTCAAGCAGATGTTGAGAACTTTGGGGTGAAAGAAATTTTGTGGGCAGGCAAGGAAGAGTGGCTTGTGCCTCCCCTTTGAAGCAGGAACTGCTGCTCTATGTACTGGAAATTGTGGAAGGAGAAGTTGAGATCTTAACCTTAGAGATAACATATCTATTATTTTAAGGATGAGGAGTCAGACACAGATACTTCT